TTAGCAGATCGTCCCCCAGACACTCTCGTTAAAAACATAAAAGACGTATTTGGCAGCCAATGAGTTAATCTGTGTTTTTTGTTTTTTGTATTTCTTATTTATTTATTTTAATTTTAATTTTTTGCTTAATTTGATTTAATTTAACTTAATACTTTTTTGCCCTTTAAGCTGCTGGTAACTTTAATTTCCTGAGGGAGTCTTCCCAAGGGATCAATAAAGTACAAGTCTAAGTCTAAGTCTACACCCAGTCAGAGGCAGTGTGGCTGTTCGGCCACTAGAGGGCAGTCTGGTGCCAAATTTCTATTCTTTAAAAGAGAAAAAAAAACTTTTAAAGATTTAAAAAAAAAAATGAAAGTCTGTCCCCATCACAGTCCTCCAGACAAAACGGTAAGAGCCAAAGTATGAGGAGACTTTCTCTGAGACCCAAAGGAGGAAAGAATCCCATTAGAAAGAAAAAGATTCTTTAGAATATTAATTTGAGGAAATTTACCGGAGAGAGGTGAAGAAAGTGATTATATATACAGCTGAACCTCTAAATACGTATTTAACTGGTTCCAGGACGACTTCTGTGTTAAATATTGGTTTGTTGGTTCAAATCTTCCATCAGAATACTCTGTAATTCCTAGAATTGGTTCCAAAAACCTACGATAACTCCTTAATAAATACTGCAGATAATTACACATAGCAAGAAAACAAATGACTTCTAGAAGAGAGATGGAAAAAAAAAATGATGCAGAAATAATGAGTAAAAAGGGTTTTTATTGTCCCTTTAGCTCAGAGACTGAAGAACGGAGGTAGAGGTGGAGACTGAGATACAGGACCAACTCTACACCAACTTAGACTGTTTATATCTTATTTTTAGATTTTATATATATTTTTCTATGAGTTTGACGTCATGTTGTAAATTTTGCTTGGGTGTGGAGTCGAATATTTGATCAGACTTTACTACATTTTACAACTATTTATTTTGATTTCCTTTTAACATTTAATATTTATTTTTCTTTCTTTTTTAATCTAACCTACATCACGTTAAATTTAAACCAACATAGCATATATTTTTTTTTATATTTTATATTTTTTTGTCTATGACTGACGAAATTACTTTGGTTGTTGAGTTGAATATTTGATCGGACTTTACTGCACTTTACTACTACTTAGACTATTTATTTTGATTTCATTTTAATATT